TTCTTCTTCAAACACTGACCTCTGACCTGACTGAACCAGACTGTCTGTCACCATGGTAACTGGAGTTGGGTTACATAATGTTGCAATTTTATAGCAGGAGGGATTTAGACTCCTGTCACCGTATATGTAAATGTGTTTGAGTAAGAATTAACAGAGCAGACCATATGCGAAGGTAAACATTATGCATTTGCTTTACAAATGTTACTTTTCTAGCCGATTGATTGGTTTTGTTTATTTGCACATATACAGAGAAATACATAAACAAATAATGAAAAAATAGACAAATATGCCGGGGGGGGGGAGCTGAAAACTTCACGGGCCTCCCGGGCCCCCAAACGAAATAGTAAATAACAGTAATTACATTACCAAGAAATCAAAATTAATTATGATACTAAAATACATGATCTAATAAGTTAAACATACGAAATGAAATTACATAATCCATCTTCAATTAGTGGCGTTATTGCGACAAGAAACCGATGATATAAATAACATAAGTAAAGCAAATTATTATATCTAATACGCCAAGAAAATAATATAAGCCAAATAACAGAGGATTGATACAAATGCTGGAAACAAGGAAAATAAACAAATTAGCTTAAAGTGATACTGGGTTTTTGTAGTAAATCTGTTTTTACGGAGTTTTTTGAAAATTTGTAAGTTGTAATGTTTGGCTTATGTTATTCCAAATAACGATTTCCGCTACGTATCTGCTTGGAGATTACTCACACTTCGTTGAGTCCAATCACGCAGTGCAACACAATCTACCGGTACCACGGCTCATGGTGATTAGTGAATCCCAGGTACTTAGTAGCTGCCCATTGGACCATGTTGATTTGATTATATGGATGATATCCTCTGGAAATCCCAAAACTGAGGCGAGCGTGCGAATAAAAAAGTTTGGCAAAAAATAAAAGTTTATTATGATATACAGAAATAACATACAGGATATGATAAGTAATAGACTTACTACTGCTACTACTACTGCTGGTGCTGCTACTACTACTACTACTACTACTACTACTACTACTACTGCTGCTGCTACTACTACTACTGCTACTACTGCTATTACTACTACTACTACTACTACTGACTACTACTACCTCTACTACTGCTGCTACTACTACTGCTGCTGCTACTTCTACTACTACTACTACTACTTCTACTACTACTACATGTACTTCTTCTACTACTACATCTACTACTACTACTACTACTTCTATTACTACTACTACTGCTGCTGCTGCTGCTGCTGCTGCTGCTGCTGCTACTACTACTACTACTACTTCTACTACAGTAACTTCTACTACTACTACTACTACTACTACTACTTCTACTACTACTACTACTACTACATCTACTACTACTTCTATTACTACTACTACTGCTGCTGCTGCTGCTGCTGCTGCTACTAACTACTACTACTTCTACTACAGTAACTACTACTACTACTACTACTACTGATACTACTACTACTACAACATACGGCCTCAAATAAGGCTATGGGACTACCTTTCCCCTGACAACCCAGCTCTATTACCACACATTTCTATTGATATCACGTCCTCAGTGAGAAGCGGCGTGTATACAGATGAGACCACAATGTAAATGACATTGAACCACGTGCACTTATCACCACTTTCGCGCTAGAAGTATTTTCCACTAATGAAATCACCGAAGGAAAAAAACGCAATTGGTGTAGCGACTTCAAGAACTGAATACTAATATCTTCGTAATATCCTCTCAAGGTAAAAAGTTCAGGGGAAGTGATCCCTGTTCATATTTTTCATCTCCATATTTATTATCTTGTCATAACTAATTCCCTTTCTTCGGGGAGAGCGATGCCCTCTTGGCTAGTTGTAATTTTCCAGGTTGGTGGTAGGTTTTGTGCGTGAGAAATAACCGTGTCCTTACTGTGTGTGGTTCATAAAAACCGTTAAAGCACACCTAGTGCATATAGCAGTCATTCAAATTTATGTGTCGATCGGTAAAACGTCTGTTAGTAAGTTGTAATTTTCTCGGTAGGTGGTCGTTTTTGTGGGGGAGGAATGCGATCCATAGTCTTACTGTACGTAGATCATAAAAACCACTATACCACATCTAGCGCATAGCAGTCATTGAAATATGTGTGTCGGCAAAACGTCAATTTCCTAAAACAGAGCAGGTACTAGAAAGGTTACAGTTGCAAATCAAGTACATAATGTTTACCTTCACATGGTCTAGCCAAACAAACTACTGCTCTCTAGCCCCTCCAGCTCTGTCCTGCTACACAATGTAACCCAACACCACCGGGTGTCTGCTCCAGCACCAGTTACCATGGTAACAGACGTCTGGCCCAGGTCATTGACCTTAGAGTTGTTTGCAGAAGAGGAAGAAACTGAGCAAAAACAATATGTTTTCCTTCTGCGAAAGTAAACCCTGGTAACAGACGTCTGGCCCAGGTCATTGACCTTAGAGTTGTTTGCAGAAGAGGAAGAAACTGAGCAAAAACAAATGTTCTCCTTCTGCGAAAGTAAACCATGGTAACAGACGTCTGGCCCAGGTCATTGACCTTAGAGTTGTTTGCAGAAGAGGAAGAAACTGAGCAAAAACAATAGGTTTTCCTTCTGCGAAAGTAAACCATGGTAACAGACGTCTGGCCCAGGTCATTGACCTTAGAGTTGTTTGCAGAAGAGGAAGAAACTGAGCAAAAACAATAGGTTTCCTTCTGCGAAAGTAAATCATGGTAACAGACGTCTGGCCCAGGTCATTGACCTTAGAGTTATTGCAGAAGAGGAAGAAACTGAGCAAAAACAATAGGTTTTCCTTCTGCTAAGTCAAACATAGATATAGCACGAGACCGTACCTATGAAATATCATCACGTGTGAGAAACGCATTATCCTAAGCACTTACGTGTATCTACCCTCTCATTGTTATTAATGGCTAATACCTTACTTTATGAGGGCTTCCATGTATTGCAGTCTATATTTATGACACGCTGTGTGCCCTACTGTACCTTTGTGATCTTCTTTCGACCCCGCCTGTGTAATTATGCACAACAAAACGAAGAATGTAAAGGTGAAGGTTTTATTTTTCCTGTGCATATATACATATAAGGCCATGTTGATTTGATTATATGGATGACATTTAATGGGAACCCCAAAACTGATGCGAGCGTGCGAATATAAAATTTCTTTACGAAGGCAATTTTTTTTACGAAATTTACAACCTACGTGGTCATGAAGGTTGAACAAATGACTAAACACACAGCTGTATGGCATTGCGAATAATAAGCTCTCCATTTTCTTTTCTTCACATTTTCTTAATTCTTTTCCTTTGGAATTGATTTTGGTCGTTTGTCGTTTTCCAATATTTTTTTTAGAATTTACGGCATGTATTTGCTTATTTTGCAGCTGCTTTGTACGATTTACAGTATGGTCGAAAACATCGGGAGGGGGTGGAAACTGACGAAAATTCATGCGCGCGCGTAGGTCATCCATAGAGATCAACATGGCCTAGTGACAGTAGTGTATATCTGCTAGAAGGTAAAAGATACGTCCGTAATATTGATTTGAAAGAAGCACGCACGCGTTTGCTACATTTTCGTCTGGAGTAATATATTTTCCGATGGAATCTTTTCTCATGTCGCAGTCCATTTGTTAAGTACGTTGTAATTGTGATTAAAAGTGCAGAAGTATCCTACAAACTATCCCAATCTGTATCTGTATCTGTATAGCCGGTATAACCGCCATTCGGCGCAGCACACCAGCTTCGCAGGCACGCGGCGCGGCGGCAGCTGGCTACATTACACCGATCGACTTGTTACACTTAGCCCTTGAACATCTAACTCTAAACAGTGTTTAAAGCTATCTAATGATAATACCCCTACTGTACTTGGTGACAGCGAGTTCCACTCTGCGGTAGTTCTAGGAAAGAATGAATTCTTGAACACCTCAATCCTTGGTTGATAACTCTGGTACTTGAAGCCGGCATGGCTATTTCTTGTTCTCCTCTAGGCTGGTATTAGGTACTTAGTAATTGGGACGTCCACCAGTTTATTAGTCATTTTGTACATCATGCATAGTCTGGACAGTAATGTGCACCGAAAAACCCCTTTTATGCCAGATGTAATGATATATAATGATATATATTTTACTGCTAAAATCAAAGAACCCACATATTATAGAAGAAGTGGGTAAATTCGTCTTCCATTGCCTAAAAAGAAGAAGTCAAACCCAGTAAAACTATAGTTTGTACCATGTATGTTGTAGAGTATAGTATAATGTTACGGATGTAGATATAGTCTCACATACCATTGTATTTTCTTTCTTTTGTTGTTTGTAACTGCAATTAGCCCTCGGGCATGTATTTGCAATAAACTTTCAATTATTATAATAGTAATATTTACCACACTTATGTCATACCGCATTCACTGTATGTAGATGGTTATTTCTGAGTTCCAGTATTTGCTTCCCTGATGTAGGGTAGAGTAAAGTAGATTACTGGAATATAGCGCATAGTATGTTATCACAACGGCATAATAGTGCGCTTTATATATCAGTTTGTCTTCCTGTATGGTAATGATTACTTTTTTACGCTTCGCTGGTAGATAGTCCTGGCGACAGAATGGCTGATTGTCACGGTAGCAAGTCCACGAAAACATTTCAAGACGGATAGTATGAACAGACTTTCAAAAATCTTTTTCTTTATGACTTGCTACCATGACAAAATCAACCATTCTGACGCAACGCTTTAGGCCAAGTTCTGAAAAGTGTGTATTTTCCTTGATATAGATCTATGATAATACTCTGTACAAAATAATGTGAAGTTCCGTGCTAAGGATTTTTTGCTAAGGCCACAGCAACTTTTAATTTTCATGGATGACATCCTCCACAGACTCCAAAATTAATGTCATAGGGCAAAAAAAAAACAAGCTGTTTCGAAATCAGGCGAACATCTATGCGTGTCTTCGAAAAATCTACTTGCTATGGCCTAACTTTATGTTTCTCTGTTGTTCTAGGTGATCCATCTCCAGTTTGGACCGGTTCCAAGCGGTTCGAACCAGTTTTATATATACTCGAGCAACAACTCGTGACTGGAATATCCGCATCTATACATCATGATCAATCTGAAGTCTTTAGAACTGTCAGAGAGCAGTCTATGCACTGCATGCAACGAAGACCCCGATAGAACCACCGTGATAGAACATGCACCCACCGGCACTGAGGCATCGGGAAACCCAGGCGGCGTGTCTGATTACACCGGTGGGTTGATCAATACCACGCCTTGGATGTGTCATTTCGTACTAAATCATCATTAGGCCACAGCAAGTAATCTCCAAGCAGATCCCTATCGGTGGCAAAAAGACAGTATCAAATTGGCCAGGCAGTATCCATTAGCCAGAGAAGGTCCGCGGCCACCGACGGGTCAGGTTGGTGGGGGTCAGGACAAAAAAAGGCCATATATAAAAAGGTAACGATCATTCCCCCACAACCTCTGCTTGGAGAGTAACAGCAAGCACATTTTATAGATAACACCCTCTGCAGACTTCAAATCTAATGCGATAGGGCGAAAAAAGGTGATCCCAAAAAACAAGATCCCTACATTTTCAAATGTTTCACATCATAGACCAAGAAATGATACCTATCTTGTGCTACGTTTACTGTTAACTATTACAACATTCACTGAAACAACTTTACAAATGCATTTGATTCACTGGGAAAATCACACATAAAGGAATGAAACACATGATTGCATAAAAGTAAACCTTGTTTAACAAGAAATGATATCCTATATGTTGTACTAAGTTTACGTACTGCCAACTATTACAACATCAATTTCTCACTGAAACAACTTTACAAATGCATTTGATTCACTGGGAAAATCACACATAAAAGGAATGAAATACATCATTGCGTCAAAGTAAAAGTCAGAACAATAAATCAGAGCCTTCTCATGTTTCCTCTCTTCATATTTAGGCCACAAAAGTAAATTTTATGGATGACATCTACAGACTCTAAATCTAATGCGATAGGGTTTTAAAAAAAGGTGGGCCAGAAAAACAAGATCCCTACATTTTCAAATTTTTACATCACAAACCTTGTCAAACAAGAAATTATACCTATTCTGTGCTAAGTTTACTGCCAACTATTACAACGTCCATTTGTCACAGAAACAACTTTGAAAAATAAAAGATCTCAATCATTGTATGAAGGGTTTTGATTCAGTGGGAACATCACATATACACAGCCACCATCACATATATGAATTAAAAAGAAATTAAATACATCACTGCATCAAAGTAAAAGACAAAACAATAAATCAGAGCCTTGTCTTGTCTCCTCTCTTCATATTTATCTGTCATCCACCTTCCGGCATGGCAACAGACATCTTTGTCCATTTTCGGCATGTTGACCACTGTCAGAGGGCAACAAAATTTCTCTTAGCATGAAAGTTCATCTGTGTTGGTACACGTCATTATGGAGGTAATTCCCACTTCATTGTAGTGTTGGTAGTTAAAGTTTAGTCTCAAAATTTCTCGTTTTTTTTTTCTTTAAAAAATGCGCGATATGATAGCATCCATAGAAATTACTTACTGTGGCCTTAGGCCCCCACGCCGGCATTTCCAATGACTCTGCTAGTACTCCTTGATTTGATGAATGGTACACCAGGGCAGACTTTGAGAGATGGTCTCTCTTCTGAAATTTCACGCCGACCTACACAAATGTAGATGATATAATTTCTCGGAATCCAAGTTTAACCTTTAGTGCACTCACGTACACACATTCATGTATTGATGTGAAGAGCCCATCCGTAGAAACTACCAGATCAGGTTGGATCATATAAATTCTGATTTAGGAAGAATCGAAGATGAGAAACATTTTGAAATAGAATGTAAACTAGAGAGGCCGACATTTGCTTGGGAGCAAATACAGCATATTTCAGTCCATCTCCCTCCCACGCAAAAGTGGACTATTCCAAACTTACCCCAGTGTAAAACTGGCAAAGATTCTCAAATAAATGAATTATATAGTAGCTATGTAATTGAGAACAAAGATGCAAGAACAAGCACATTGAATCTCGAAAGATTTACTAATCTTATTACAGGTATGCAAATACTAACAATGATGAGATTTGATACATTTTGAAGGTCTTAGGCACATAAAATTGAATGTGTGGGTCATTATGCACGACTTACGTGCAATGTGACCCCAGGTAACCCGCAATGGAACACGTGTTCCATGGATGGAACAGGCCATTCTTTAGATAGAACATGGAACGGGTATAGCACTTTTGGCCCCTTTTTTGCTGAAAATAGCCATTAAAGTCCCCCAAATGAGTCATTTGGAAGTGGTGTATGCCAAATATGTGACTGCTATTCTGTAGACACATGTTCAAGGTACCCTTATACCGAATTTCAGATCATTCGGTTGTAAAACCAGGGCTCAGGATCCAAAAATCCATTTTTTGGCGAAAAATGCCCCAAAAAACCTTCATAAAAAATTGTCAAAGGCATGTATCAAAAAAATGAAAAAAAAACGCCTGGGGGTATTGGCCCACTCTACCTCCATGCCAAATTTCAAGTCATTTGGCTGAATGATGGCGGAGTTGAATCCCTTTGACTGTTTGGCAGGAGAAGGAGGAGGAGAAGAAACATGAGGGAACACAATATATTTCATCCATACCATGGTATGGACTGAAATATAACTATACAACAAAGAGAGAGCAGATCTTTATAATCTGATACAATCCATGTTCCCCTTCTTTATACATCTAAGCTGTACAGATAAATTCATATGTCTAATGAGCTTAGACAAACCTTCTGTATTGAAACATACCTGTTCTTACCTTTTTTCCATTACTAAGAAACGAGAAGAAACCGAATTTACTTAATTGTAGCTAGTATACAATGTAACGTTATCTGTATTCCATCCTTTTCTTGTGACCTGTACTGAACCCAGTGGGTATGTGTGTACAATTAAGGTCTTCATTCATTCATTGAGATATTTTTTGATTAAACGGTTTCAGATAGAATAAGAGCCCGAATAGATACAATGGATATATTCCCTCGGTACCGGGCTTGTATTGGAGACAGACTTGTGTCGCCATCTCACTGGCCCATTCGTGCCTTTCGCATATAAATCGTTTATTAAGTTTCGCACATAAATCGTTTACAAAGCAATCGAACGGTCGAAACAGCATGCATAAAACATTACGTGTAACTTTTATGATATGACGTGGCCTGGTCAAATAATACATAGCAGCAAATTCTATATAGCTATCCCATTGCAAAGTAGAAAAAAATCAATACATAGAAGTATCGCGTAATTCTACTTCCTTTCATTTAGGTTCCAATTTTCTCTCAAAGATCAATTTTTATCACGATTTCCGACCGTAAGTCTTTGTTAGTTGGACACGTACGGAAGGGCGAAACTGGAATTTAAATCGAATCGATCAGGAGCTAGGAGTCGGTTTGGTTAGGCCACAGCAAGTAAATTATATGGATGACATCCTCCGCAGACTACAAATCTAATGCGAGCGGGCGAAAAAAAACAAGGCGGGCCGAAAAAAATCAAGGTTCCTACAATTTAAAATTTGGACTCAAACATTGTACAAATGGTTTTGATTCAGTGGGAACATGACATATACACAGCCAACATCACATATCACTGCATCAAAGTACGAAACAAAACATTAAATCAGCCTTTTCTTGTCTCCTCTCTTCATAGTTATCTGCCATCCACCTTCCGGCATGGCAACAGACATCTTGGCCCATTTTCGGCATGGTGACCACTGTCAGAAGGCAACAATTTTTTTTTCCAAAATCAGGCGAAAATTAATGCGCGCGCTGATGTCATCCATAAAAATTACTAGCTGTGGCCTTAGCGGTAAAATCAGGTTGGAAGAAACTCAGCTGCCAGAAAGAGAGAGAAAACTCTCTGTGTGTTCGTTTCCTCTGCGTTTGTTCTGCAAATACTGAAGCGGAAAAGCTGGCCACTCGGAATGCTAAAAAGCGACCCCAATTGGGTAGAAATTGGCCTACTTGACCCCATGCATATGTATCTTGGCACAGAAACACAGAAGAAAACGTCGTACTAAGACTGAGAAAAGGTCTGAAAGCTGGCGTCTGGGGTCCATGCATACCACCAGTAGTGCGCTATGTTTTGAATCATTCAACGTAACGTGAAAATTCTTGGGACACGGTGGATATATTATATAAAGAGAAATCATCTCACGGTGCCCCCCACATTATTGGTAGAACTTACTAGAAGCGATATCGCATTTTCCGGCCGCGTGGGCAAAATTACTGAGCCAAGGGTCTCTCGGAGAGGATTTCTGGTGACGTGATGGTACTGAGGCGTGAAAGCAGCAGATGACACTAGGTAGAAGCACTAATAATAGTTCTGGGGGAAGCCAATAGCCGCGGGGGCAATCGTGGGTATAATTTGGGTATACACCACGTGATCGTGCCAGTCGCCCAAATGCGCGTGAGAGAGTGCCGCAGTGTGTGTACAGAGTACGGGACATGTCAGGCTGGCAACAACATGGCGAAGGAACTGCTAGAAGAGATCACGGAACGCTTCCTGGTGTGCAGCGTGTGTCTTGAGGAATACGACGAGCCGAAGACGCTCCCCTGCTCTCACTGCTTCTGCCGGAAGTGTCTTGAGAACGTCTTAGATTCTGCCAAGGAGGGACGGAAGCGTACGAGACTGTGCTGTCCTTCGTGCCGCCAGGAGGCAAGGCTGTATGGGAGGGGCGTGCAGGAATTGGAGGACAGTCAGTTTTTGAGAAAACTTCAGAAAGTGGTGTCGAGTCGGACTGCTATGCTTGGAGACGCTGCGAGGGCGTGTTGTGGGCTGTGTCAGTGTAAGGAGGCGGCGGCTACCGCGTTCTGTAAGGGCTGCGAGCACTATCTCTGCGAGGATTGCTCCCACACGCACAGGGTCATATCCGACGCCGCCAGCGAACATGAGCTGCTGCAGGTGTCGGGGCAGGAGTGCCCGCCGGCCGAAGGAACCTCCACGCCGACCCGGTCAACCGAAGAACAACGGCAAATCCACTTGTTCCTGTGTGCACCGTGCGAGTTACTGGTATGCCTGCACTGCGTGGTGACGTCCCACAGGGGGCACGCCTATGTCGAGCTTCGCGAGGCGATTCAGCGGGAGAGGCGACTG